TTCTTGTTTAAAAAAAAGAAAAAAAAAACATAAAAAAAGCTAGTTAGGTTGAAAACCCAAATGGGCAATCTAAGCAATAAAAGCAAAAAAATGAGTGAGTAGGGGAGAAAAAAAAATGAGAGGCTAGGATAAATTAAAAAAAAAAGATCCTAGGCAAAATGAGAGAAATGAGAAAAATTATTTTTACAGGGATGTGGTGATACAATGATGAAGAGGAACATAGAAAGCATAGAAGACAAGTAAACCCAATATCATGAAGTGTGTAGTGCATAAGTGAAATCATTTCACTTTGTAAAACACATTTTAAACATTACTTGGTTGTCTTTTGCTTGTTCATGATTGTTTGAAGTGTTGATGAAACATTGACTTTACTCGAGGACGAGTAAAGAAACTAAGCATGGGGGAGTTGATAGAATTGTATTTTTATTATGTATTATTTCTATTTTAACTAGTTTTATTTGTTGTTGTTTGGAAAATTACACACTTTTGGTGTAATTAGTTTATTTTCCTATATAAATGTAATTTGTTTAGATTAGGATTATTCTGAGCTTAAAACATGTCAAGATCATCCAAAGGATCAATATTGGACCCCAAAAGATCAAGGAAGGTGCAAGGGGACAAGATAAAAAGAAGATTGAAAAATATTTCATATACCCGGTCGGGTATAGGCAATACCCGATCGGGTATTGAGTTGATTCGGGTGTCAAAATCATATTCTGGAGAGACAAAAGAACGTGCAGGATTTTGACTTTTTGGCTCATACCCGACCGGGTATGCCTACATACCCGACCGGGTATGTCTAGAAAAGTGATTTTCCGGGAAACTGCCTAAAATACCCGATCGAGTACCCTATATACCCGATCGGGTACACAACCCTGCCACCTCCAAACACCTATAAATACACCCCTTTTCCTTCACAATAAAATCACTCCTTCTTCCATACTCTTAAGCTCAGTTTAGAATAGTATTTCTTTTACATTTTTATAGCATGTTTAGTCTCCAAATGAGGAGCTAAACTTCCATTTCTTGGTGTTGCTCTTGAAGCTTGTTGATTATTAAAGTTGTGAGTTATTTTCTTAACTTCTTCCCTTGAATATTAATTATTCTCTTAATCTATCTATATATTAATGTTGGGGAGTGTTGCTAAGATGACAATTAGTTAACATCTCGACATTAATTACTACTAGAAACGATCAACGAACCGATGGTTAATCGTTGATGGTTTCACAAGTAAGTAACTTCGGTTTATTAATGCACGGTCGTGGTTAATAAACTTAAGAGGGATTAATTTTGTTGGTTAAACCGAAACCGTTGTGTTGAGGTTATCAATCTCAATTGATTTCATCAAGGGGTTAAGAGATTAAATGCTACTATTAAGTCGGTATATGGCGGTGTTCTATACTTGACTAATAGTAAGGGTTATTAATGAACGGTCGTTGTTAATAACTACTCTCGATGAATTGGATATACTCCTCGATTGAGTATTTGAGAGGGGATAAGTTATAGATATAACAATGATCAACTAAAATATATCAACAAGTGGAAAGTAGCAATGCCAAGTCCTTTTTATCTTTGAATTAAATCTCATATAAGTCCTTCATCTTTGTTTTTAATTAAATTAAATCATTCAACCATAACCTCCCCCCCTTTTATTTACTAGCTTCATAAAAAGAGAATTATTCATTTCCCTGTGGATACGAACTCTACTTCACTATACTACGTATTAGTGTTAGTATTGAATATTATTTTGAGTCCACACACGACAAGTGCACGTCAGAGAGAGTATTAAATAATTCAGCGTGCGAAATAAAAAATTACGTGTTTGGTAACAAAGTTGGTTGATAAGCCGAAAAATAAAGTCACCAAACGGGCTTTGTAATTTTAAACTTTTTAAAATAATTTTGTGTAATTCTTTGTAGTACATACATGGTGTGATATATTATGAGTAATAAAAAGTTATTATAAATTATCTACAAGTACATATATTCCAAATGTAAAACAAGTATATCAGTTTTTTTTATTCCTTTTCCCATAATTTAAAAAAAAACAATTAAGAATTATGGAAATTTGTTTTATTCGATTAGAATTCCATCAAGTTCTATACATTATTTATGTAAAATTTTCTCAATATTTAGACGGGTTAATACATTAGGGTTATGTTTGGCACTTCGAAATGTAGGTGGAAGCTAATGTCTGAATTAAGGGCTATTGCGTGAACTAGAGAATATTGTCTAGAGCCTAAATATTATTTAATTCAATATAATAACTACAAGAACTAAACGTAAAATTGTTAAAAAAATGGCACCCCAAATAATTTCAATAAAATTGTTTGGCCCTTCGAAAGTGGAATATAACAAAATAAAAATTTTTAAGCACCCCCAAATTATTTCAATAAAATTGTTAAAATAATCCTAATAGCTTTCAAATCATTACTAAAATGAAAAAAAAAAAAAAAGCAAAACATCATAAAATGGAAGTGGGAAAAAAAAATACAGCAAGACTGCACGTATTAAAATTTGCTAAATATGGAGTATAAGTTTGTCTTAATGTTATCTCATACTCCGTATTTATGTTCACCTTTTTAATTAAGGATATTTTCAGCATGAATCATTTTTTTATCTCATTGGTGAAAGTAAAAGTTATTTTTACTTTGGTGTATATATAAATATAATCTTGATATATTTTAGTTGAGAGTTTCAGCTCTCAGAAAAGTTTTTATTTATTACATATATAACAATCATATCGTGACACTAAAAGTGTTGTTCAAGAATTAGATAAATAATGTAGACTGTATATAAAAGGTACGGAGTAATTCTTTTACTCATGGATGTAACCTTAATATAATACTATTTGATCATGAAAAATGATATCATTTTTCACTTATGAATATGAGGTTTTTGTATTTTTATTTGTCATTGCATAATTTGTCATGTTAATGTTTCGATTATGGCTACTTCTTGATGTGATGAGCATTTTTTTATAGGTTTTATTCATCTATCCTTCTAGGTAAAAATTGTCTACAAGTCTAAAGCATGCAACTCTTCTTCGTTCAATAACACTTATTTTACCTAATAAAATCAAATATACCTTCAATATAATAACTCAATCGGATGAAAAATAAATTGATCGTTGTCAATCACAATATGACCTGGCCAGACCAGACCAGATCAAATGACATCAGACTAGAAAATTTCAGTTCAATTAATCACAAGGAGTCCTTTCTGACCTTTAGGGCTCCATATTAGATCATATCAAATCAGACCAGCTTAGAATTTAGAACCCATATTAGATTAGAATTCAACAAATCACCTCAAAGTACTCATGAGTAAATTTTAAAGTTAATTAACTTATTATGGACTTAATCACAATACAATCACAAGTGAGATAGAGAAACAAAATTAGACTAAATTATTATTATGGAGTAAATAAATCATATTTTCAAAATATTCATAAGTAAATTTTTTTTTTATCAGCAAACAAATTGAGATAATGACACATGATTTGGTACTAATATACATAAGGGACTAAAGAGATTATACAAATATCCTTAAAAACAAATTTCTTGAGTACGATCTATTTGAGAAAACAAATCTAAAAACATTTCAAAATTATGAATATGAAATTTATTCATATATGAATTTATGCAATGAGGTTATTTGACTCAAAATAAAGGTAAGTTATGTTTAATAGATCTAAATCACCAACTTCTCAATGAAATTGTTGAGCTAGAATAGAATTGTCTAGCCTATAATACTCATTTTCCGTTTTTTTAATTGCACACATACAACTTTAATAATATATGTATACTTGAAAACTCAAATTTACACAAATTATCATATAAATCATATTATAAGTTTAATAATATTTATTTAACTAAACAATAAGTTCATATTATCGTCAATAATTCAATTTAAAAAACAAACTGATTGCTGCCAACCACAATATGCAGCTTATTGTCTCCGTCATCGCCTTCATTAAAATAGGAATGTCAGAAATTATATGTTTTAAACACTTTTCTAAAAGAAAGAGATTGAAGGATTAATATTCAAAAATCTTAAACCGAGAAGGGATAATATCTTAAAAAATTGACTACACTCACTTTTTAGATAAATTACAAAAATGTGTTGTTAGTTTTGGAATGAACAGTAAGCCAATGTTGAAATTTAATGAAAAAATAGGCATTGAGCATTTTTTTTTAGGTAAATATAGTTAAAAAATTACATCCATTTGGATGGAACTAAGACTGTGTGTGTTCTTTCCATTGAAAAATATAGACTACAAACATGTTTAGATAATTAGTTGAAAATAAGACATACTTAATAAATTAGAATATAGACTACCAAAGTAATAATCGACTAAATAAGTTATTTCGATTGGTACAACTATAAAGCAAAATCGTTATAACCAAACTAGTTTTTTTCCCAAAATAATATTTAAATTAATAATATTTTATTAATTTCGTAATTAAAAAATAAATAAATATTTTCATGGACTAATATACCCTTTAGATTATGCCTATAAAACCCTGACTTTCTATTCCTTTTTTCCAACCCTAACCTGACCTCTAGCGACCCACGCCAGCCGCTGCCATCCCTCCACACGGCCACCTGCTGTTGCCGCACCGCCGCACGACTTCGTAATTAGATCTCACTTATAATTCTCTCTGAATTGTGATTGATAATCATAATCCGGTGAGATATTGAAGCCTAACTTGGTAATATACTCCATATCACCTGCTCCTATATGATATACTCCCTCCGTCCAAAAATCGTTGGCCAATGTTGACTTGCACGTGGATTAATAAAGTAAAAACTGTGTTGTTAAAATTTGTGAAGAAGAAAGAGAATTAACTTTAGTCACATATTCCTTACTTTAAATGGAAATGAATAACATTTTTGAGACGGCCAAAAAAGGAAATTTGGCTAACCATTTTGGACGGAGGGAGTACGAAGTACTACGTACAAAGTGTATAGTTGTATACAGTGTGTAAACTGTAAATGCCATTTTCAACATTTCAAACAAAAATGGGAAGCTCTTGAGTCTTGACCAAAAAAAAAAACAGAAATGGGAAGCTTGGGAGGGGTATAACTGAAAGTAAGTCCAAGAAGCCTTCTTCCATCTCACTCCTTCCACTTCACCTCTTCAACGGGCTGTCGGTGGTCCGTCGCCTTCAACCTCCGTCTCTTCACTATCTGCTAATCACAGCTCACATCCTCTCTCTCGCCCACTACATTACATCGTACACACATGCCATCTGTCTTTTTCTGTCCAAAGATCATCTTCTTTCCCGATTCCCCATTTATATGACTCCTCTTTGATTTATTCTCTTGTCTGCTGCGGATTTCTTTCAATGCTCTAACCCACCCGACAATACCCTCTCTTCTCAGGTATCTCTCGCCTTGTCTACTATGATCTTTCTGCCCCTTCACGGAATCTGTGAGGTTCAACAAATTCACATTTCATTTTATCTGATCTCAATGTACTCTACTAGTTTGAGCTAAGATCTATGTGTAGTAGAATACACGACGTTTTTTCCAATTGTTAGAAAAGGTGCGATCTTTGAGGTTGATCTGATCGCGTTTCATGTTTTCTTTAGGAATTGTATTTAGTCGTAGTACTCAATTGTTAGTCAGTTACATAGTTTTTTTTAGTTGATCTGTTTCTACCTTCCTAGCATCGGATAGGTAAACTTCATTTTCATAAATAGAAGGGTCTTTGACTTTGGGTATTTATTGTGTTTATCATTTCTGCTGCTGTTCAGAAAGCTGGTAGCTCTCGCAAAAAAAAAAAGAAAAAAAAAAGAAAGCTGGTAGCTGAAGTGAAGATCTTGAATCACAGTAAAACTGGCGGCAACACTAAGTTGGAGGTATGCTGCCAGCAGTGGCAGCAGCCTTCCCACTACTGATCTAGTACGCCTCCAGATTTCCATCCAATTCTTGCACTATCATTTACTTATTTAAACTGTTGAAGTATTGCACTCGAGATCTAGATTTAGTCCCCATTTGGGATTGCTTTTGAGATCAGAAAGGCTACTTTTCACCTCCAATGCAATCCCAGCCAAACTAAATTACTGCTCAGAAGGTGATTTTCAACGCTAAGGCACTGTACATCTGTAATACAGAAGTCAGTCCATTATGACTTTTAAGAAATGCATTTTTGTGGTTAAAATATTTATATTTTGATTTTTTAACAATCTACATTCCATTATTCAACCTGAGCGCCAAAAGTTATAGCTCTTAAAAGCCACAATACTCAAAATTGCTTTTCCAGTAAGGAGTTTTTCCAATCACAACCTCAATCCCAAACTAGGCCTTGATATTGACGTTTCATGCTCCAATTTGATTCAATCTGGATGGGTTGATATGAATTTTAACATCATAGTTGCTTTTCTTGGATAACTTTGTATTCATTTTAGCATCTACCTGCAGATGTTGGCATCTTATAAAACCCTTTTGATCTAAGCTTGAAGAAATTGCATGTTCTGTTTATTTGACTTCTCTCTTCACGTGATTCTTATTCTATTCACCTTGCATCCCTAACTGGCATATCTTTTTCTGTACCCACACTTTCAGGGGAGAAATGGAGATGTTAAATCTCATGATTTGGAGCCATCAACTCCTCATTCTTTTATAAAAATGAGTTCAAGGTCAGCTTTTTTATATTTGTAGTGGTTTCTTAGAGTGATTCATTTTTTGTCTATTACATTCTACTATCTTATTATGAATTTAAAAAAGATGAGAAATTCTTAGGCAAACTCAACTCTTATCTTTTGTTTCTATTATTCACTTCCTGTCTACCTAATAATTTCTATGAATTGATTAATGGTAATCTCTCCATGAACCCATGTTATTCCCTAATGCAGATACATCTTGCCATACTCTTCTCTTTATGAACTAAGACTACTTTGGTTTATTGTACGTCACAACATATATCTGATGCAAATTATGGATCGTTAAATGATTGCAGAGATCGTAGCAGCAGCATGGAGGATCCAGATGGAACACTCGCAAGTGTTGCTCAATGTATTGAGCAGTTGCGTCAAAATTCCTCTTCTATGCAGGAAAAGGAGTATTCCTTGAAGCAATTGTTGGGGCTTATTGATACAAGAGAAAATGCCTTCAGTGCTGTTGGGTCACACTCTCAGGCAGTTCCAGTGATGGTTTCTCTACTTAGATCAGGATCACTTGGGGTAAAGATTCAGGCTGCTACAGTTTTGGGCTCTCTTTGTAAGGAAAACGAATTACGAGTAAAAGTACTTCTCGGAGGTTGTATTCCCCCATTGCTCGGTCTTCTCAAATCAAGTTCAGAGGAAGGTCAGATTTCAGCAGCAAAAACCATTTATGCTGTATCTCAAGGTGGTGCAAAGGATCATGTAGGTTCTAAAATATTTTCTACTGAAGGGGTTGTCCCAGTTTTGTGGGAGAAGTTGCGGAAGGGTCTCAAATCTGGAAACTTAGTTGATGATTTGGTAACCGGAGCGCTAAAAAACCTTTCTACCAGTGCTGAAGGATTTTGGTCTGCTACAACCCAAGCTGGAGGACTAGATATACTTGTTAAATTATTAGCCACTGGACAGTCAAGTACCCTAGCAAATGTCTGTTTTCTCCTTGCATGTATGATGATGGAAGACTCATCTGTTTGTTCTCAACTCTTGGCTTCCGAGGCTACAACGAAACTCCTTAAACTAGTTGGACCTGGAAATGAGGATTCTGTCAGAGCAGAAGCCGCAGGAGCTCTCAAATCTCTTTCTTCCCAGTGCAAAGAGGCCAGAAGAGAGATAGCAAAGTCAAATGGTATACCCATTTTAATAAATGCCACAATAGCCCCTTCAAAAGAATTCATGCAGGGTGAGTATGCTCAGGCTTTGCAGGAGAATGCAATGTGTGCTCTTGCAAATATTTCAGGTGGCTTGTCATATGTCATATCAAGCCTTGGCCAAAGCCTCGACTCTTGTACCTCACCAGCACAGGCTGCCGACACATTAGGGGCTTTGGCTTCTGCTCTCATGATATATGATAGCAAAGCAGAAGATTCAAGAGCCTCAGATCCTTTGGAGGTGGAGCAGACACTGATTAAACAATTTAGACCCCGCTTGCCGTTTCTGGTGCAAGAACGTACCATAGAAGCCCTTGCTAGTTTGTATGGAAATGCCATACTCTGTAGTAACAGACTTACAAACTCTGATGCAAAACGCTTGTTGGTTGGCCTGATCACAATGGCGACCAATGATGTTCAGGATGAATTGATTAAGTCCCTTTTAATTCTTTGTAAAAACGAGGGTAGTTTATGGCATGCACTTCAAGGTCGTGAGGGTATTCAACTATTGATTTCACTTCTTGGTCTTTCTTCGGAGCAGCAACAGGAGTGTTCTGTCGCTTTGCTTTGCCTCCTTTCTTCTGAAAATGATGAAAGTAAATGGGCAATAACAGCAGCTGGAGGAATACCTCCACTCGTTCAGATTCTAGAGACTGGATCTGCCAAGGCTAAGGAGCATTCTGCAACGATTCTTGGAAACCTCTGTAACCACAGTGAGGATATACGGGCATGTGTTGAGAGTGCTGATGCTGTTTCTGCTTTACTATGGCTTCTGAAGAATGGGAGCTCCAACGGTAAAGAAATTGCTGCTAAGACATTGCATCATTTGATTCACAAATCGGATACTGCAACTATTAGCCAACTCACAGCGTTATTAACCAGTGATCTTCCTGAGTCCAAAGTTTACGTTTTAGATGCATTAAAGAGTTTGCTTTCTGTGGTCCTTCTCAGTGACATGTTACGTGAAGGCAGTGCAGCAAATGATGCAATTGAGACAGTGATCAAGAGTTTAAGCTCTACCAGGGAAGAGACTCAGGCAAAGTGTGCATCAGTTCTTGCTGGAATCTTTGATCTGAGGAAGGACTTGCGGGAGAGTAGCCTCGCGATCAGGACTCTTTTGTCAGTTATGAAGCTTCTAAATGATGAATCTGAAAGCATATTAGCGGAGGCTTCCCGCTGCCTTTCAGCAATATTTCTCTCAATCAGAGAGAACCATGATGTGGCTTTGGTTGGTAGAGATGTTTTCCCGTCAATAATGGCACTTTCGAAGCATTCAGCTTTGCAAGTTGTAGAGCAAGCAACATCTGCCTTGGCCAATCTTCTTCTGGATGGTGAAATTTTGCAGAATGCTGTTCCTGAAGCAATAATCTTACCAGCCACTAGAGTTCTCTGTGAGGGTTCAACTGATGGACAGACCCATGCTGCTGCTGCAATTGCTCGACTATTGCAATCTTGTCAGACTAATTCTGCCTTAACTGACTTTGTCAATCGTACAGGGACATTTCTGGCTTTAGTTTCTTTTCTGGAATCCACCAACAGTGGATCTAATAATGCTATGTCAGAAGCATTAGATGCACTTTGTTTTCTTTCTAGGTTGGAAGGGGATACTGAGAATATTAAACCCGCATGGGCAGTGCTTGCTGAGCGACCGGACAGCATTTCAGTAGTCTCATCATGCATTGCCAATGCTGGCCCACTTTTGCAAGACAAAACTATAGAAATATTATCATGGCTCTGTCAAGCTCAGCCAGCTTTTCTAGGAGACGCAATTGCTTGTGCTTCCAGGTGTATTTCTTCAATTGCAAGAAGGGTGATCGATTCTACAACTGTAAGAGCCAAAATTGGAGGAACTGCTCTGCTCGTTTGCACTGCAAAAGTTAAACATCAAAGGTTTGTTGAAGCTTTAAACGAATCACATTCATGTGTTCCCCTCATTAAAACTCTTGTTGGGCTTCTGAGCTCTTTGAAGTCTTCCGAGCTGACAGATCAGGACCACAATGTTGCTATAAACATATCTACAAGTGCTGAAGAGGATCCAGTGAAGGGGAGAATTACTTCAGTTTTATACGGCCCCACTATTGCTACATGGCTTCTTTGTGCCCTTGCTAGCTATGATGACAAAAACAAAAATGAGATCATGGAAGCTGGTGCAGTTGAAGTTCTTACTGATAAAATCTCTGGATTTCCTTTCCATCCCACTCAGGTACTCAACTGAATCAGATTTGTGCTTAGAGTAGTAAATGAATCTTCTCAAATCTTGCAAAATGATACACCCTCTGTCCCATAATACTTGGCCAAATTGACTTTTCTTGATCAATGATATAATAAACTTTGGACAATGATTTTAGCTATTATATTTGTGTCAAATTTATAAAAGTTTATACATTCATGATAATATTTTTAACGAAGAATATTTCCATATAATTTTCATATTTTAAATAAATTTTTATTGAAATATTTCATTGGTCAAACTTGACCATCATTGACCAAGAAAAGTCAATATGGCTAAGTTTTTTGGAACAGAGGGAGTACATATCATTAAAGTGACAGATTCTTATGTGGTTTGTATTGTGCATATGAACATATCTTATAACGACATTCAATTTTATTAATACATGCAGATCGATTTTAATGAGGATGGAAGCATATGGGTTAGTGCTTTGCTACTGGCAATCTTATTTCTTGATAGGGACATCATACGAGCACATTCCACAATGAAGGCAATACCAGTGCTTGCCAATTTGCTAAAGTCAGAGGAGACAGAAAATAGATACTTTGCTGCACAGGCCATAGCCAGTCTTGTTTGTAACGGGAGCCGGGGAACTCTTCTTTCTGTTGCAAATTCAGGGGCAGCTGCTGGGCTCATTTCCTTGATTGGTTGCGCTGATGATGATATACACGACCTTATCCAATTGTCCGAGGGGTTCTCATTGTTGCGTAATCCAGATCAAGTAGCTCTTGAGAGATTGTTTAGGGTTGATGACATTCGGACTGGGGCAACTTCTAGGAAAGCTATACCTGCTCTGGTTGATTTGCTGAAACCCATTCCAGATCGTCCCGGTGCACCTTTTATTGCACTCGGACTCATGATCCAGTTGGCTAGAGATTGCCCCTCAAATCAGATGGTTATGGTTGAGTCAGGAGCTCTTGAAGCATTGACTAAATATCTATCTCTTGGCCTGCAAGATTTGACAGAAGAAGCCGCTACTGATTTATTAGGCATATTATTTACTAGTCCTGAAATCCGGAGACATGAATCTTCATTTGGAGCTGTTGGCCAACTTATAGCAGTGTTACGCTTAGGTGGGAGAGGGGCAAGGTACAGTGCAGCCAAAGCCTTGGAAAACTTGTTCTCAGCAGATCATATAAGAAATGCTGAGTCTGCTAGGCAGGCTGTACAACCTCTCGTAGAGATTCTAGAAACTGGTCTTGAGAGGGAGCAACACGCTGCTATTGCTGCATTGGTTCAGTTACTAAGTGAAAACCCATCACGGGCTCTTACAGTGTCCGAGGTTGAGGTGAATGCAGTTCATGTTCTTTGCAATATTCTTTCATCAAACAGTTGTTCAGTGGAGCTTAAAGGGGATGCAGCTGAATTATGTTCCGTTCTTTTCGGGAATACGAGAATCAGATCAACTGCTGCTGCAGCCCGATGTGTGGAGCCTTTGGTTTCTTATCTTGTTAGTGAATTTAGTCCAGCTCATCATTCAGTTGTTCGTGCATTAGGCAAACTTGTTGATGATGAGCAGCTTGGAGAACTGGTTGCTGCACATGGGGCTGTCATTCCACTTGTAGGCCTACTTTATGGTCGGAACTTTTTGCTCCATGAGGCAATTTCTAGGGCACTTGTGAAGTTGGGGAAAGACAGGCCTTCTTGTAAGATGGAAATGGTGAAGGTTGGGGTAATTGAGTGCATACTTGATATCCTACACCACGAAGCACCAGATTTCCTCTGTGCTGCATTTGCTGAATTGTTAAGGATATTGACAAATAATGCTACCATTGCCAAGGGACCATCCGCGGCTAAAGTGGTTAAACCTCTGTTTTCATTATTAATGGCAAATCCGGAGTTCGGGCCTGACGGGCAACATAGTGCTTTGCAGGTCCTGATTAACATCTTGGAATATCCACAGTGTCGTGCTGAACACACCTTGACATCTCATCAAGCAGTTGAGCCTTTAATTCCTTTACTTGATTCTCCTGCTCCAGCTGTGCAGCAATTGGCAGCGGAACTTCTCTCCCACCTTCTTCTGGACGAGCATCTTCAGAAGGATCCCGTAACCCTGCAAGTAATTGGCCCTTTAGTGCGAGTGGTTGGTTCAGGGATACCTATTTTGCAGCAGAGAGGTATGAAGGCTCTTGTTTGTCTCTCGCTTACCTGGCCAAATGAAATAGCTAAAGAAGGAGGTGTTGCTGAAATCTCCAAAGTGCTACTATATGCTGATCCTTCAGTTCCTCAGGCCTTGTGGGAGTCAGCTGCTTCGGTTCTATCCAGTGTTCTGAAATTTAGCTCTGAGTTTTATCTAGAAGTGCCTGTAGCTGTTTTGGTGAGATTGCTTCGCTCAGGCTCGGAAAACACTGTGCTTGGTGCACTAAATGCTCTCCTTATACTGGAGAGTGATGACTCTACCAGTGCTCAGGCAATGGCTGAAAGTGGGGCCATTGAAGCTCTTTTAGAACTTCTCAGATGCCATCTCTGTGAGGAAACTGCTGCAAGACTGCTTGAGGTATTGCTGAACAATGTCAAGATCAGGGAAACAAAAGCTACCAAGACAGCAATACTGCCTTTGTCACAGTACCTCTTGGACCCACAAACCCAAGGTCAACAAGCAAGGTTGCTGGCGACTCTTGCTCTCGGTGATCTATTCCAAAACGAGGCTCTTGCTCGAACAACAGATGCTGTTTCTGCCTGTCGAGCATTGGTTAATCTGCTTGAGGATCAGCCTACTGAAGAGATGAAAGTAGTAGCAATATGTGCCTTACAAAATCTTGTCACTGACAGCCGGCCGAATAAGAGGGCGGTGGCAGAGGCGGGTGGCGTCCAAGTTCTGCTTGATCTGATTGCTTCAAGTGAACCAGAGACATCAGTGCAGGCAGCCATGTTTGTTAAACTTCTCTTTTCCAACAATACCATTCAAGAGTATGCTTCCAGTGAAACCGTCAGAGCTATTACTGGTAAAGTTCCTTCCTATAGTGAACCTTCAGTATAAAAGTGAAGGATTACACCCTGCTAGTCATTGATCATTGCTGCCCAAAAGTGTCCACTGGGAGTAGCCTGAGTGGAGGGTAGGGTGGACTTAAGGTCCCTCCTGTAACATTCCCGAACTGCAACTAGAGATTCTTTAAGCTATCTCACATTGTCGGAATATAAAAATCTAAACATATGTCTAAGGTTTGCTGTTCCCCATGTGGTATTAGATCCTATTAAGCTCAAACGAGTTATTCAATTTTACTAAACCTAGAAAACATGCGCATGAATTTCTAGATTAGTATGCTGTGATGAGTCACTGGGTATGTCATCTCACATTGTTTATATAAATAAAAAATAGAAACCCACCCATAAGGCCTTAAGCTACCTTTCTATAAGGTTTAAGCTTTTGGGATTAATCTCCAATTTTTAACCAAGTCCTAGGCTATGGGCGGGGAGGGGGGGGGGACTCAATTGGAGAGGTTTCCCCTTTACTTTCCATTTTAGTCCCCAAAATGCAATCTAGCATGTTTCATTTAAGCATGAATTATTTTGGAACTAGAAAGAATAAGTTAGTTTGTTCTGTCCTTGTAGCTGCAATTGAGAAAGATTTGTGGGCAAGTGGAATGGTAAATGAAGAGTATCTGAAGGCTCTGAATGCGCTTTTTAGTAACTTCCCCCGTTTAAGAGCTACAGAACCTGCAACATTGAGTATTCCACATCTGGTTACTTCTCTCAAGACCGGTTCAGAGGCAACTCAAGAAGCTGCATTGGATGCACTTTTTTATCTTAGGCAAGCTTGGACAGCATGCCCTCCTGAAGTCTCTCGGGCACAATCAATTGCTGCTGCTGATGCTATTCCGTTGTTGCAGTTCTTGATCCAATCAGGCCCTCCTAGGTTTCAGGAGAAGGCTGAATTTTTGCTTCAGTGCTTGCCAGGGACTTTGGTGGTTATAATTAAGAGGGGAAATAACATGAAGCAGTCTGTGGGAAACCCTAGCGTGTACTGCAAGATTACCCTTGGACATACTCAACCTCAGCAAACTAAGGTACATTTTTTTTACATTATGAAAGAAAAAAGATACTCCGTATTAAATAACATAGGAACATGTTATTTACTTGAAAAATATTTTCATTCAAGTTTTGTTTGTTGTTTTTATGGCAGTTTAGGTATATAATATTACTCTTTGATACATTTTTTAAATATTTAATGAGTTTCAAATTATGCCTACTTAATTAATCATCAAGTGTCGATTAATATATAACACATGTTATCTTTCTTTGTGTACCACAAATAAGCAAATTCGCATATTATCTTTAATTGCTTTCATATATACTTCATAACTGGTTATTTTCCCTTTTCTTAGATCGTGTCAACGGGTCCTAGTCCTGAGTGGGATGAGAGTTTTGTGTGGTCCTTTGAAAGTCCACCAAAAGGACAAAAGCTTCATATTTCATGCAAGAACAAAAGCAAAATGGGCAAGGTAAATGGCATGTTCTTTTTTTTTTATTATTATCTTAGAGCCCGTTTGGTAACCATGTTTTCGGCTTATCGGGCTTATTAGCCAATTTCTTCACCAAACATGTAAATGTTGATTTCGCGCGCTGAATTGTGTAATAATAAGAAAGAGTAAGGTTAAAGTTACTTTTCTGGATATATTGTCTGAAGTTACCTTTAAATTTTTTCCTCCATAAATCAAATAGAATCAGTCTATCTAACCACTTCAGTAAGAACTTTGTAAATTTCAGCAAAATCACTTGATTTTGCCGATTTTGGTATTACCAAATGGGCTCTTAATAAAAGAAGAGGCATAAATTTCAGCTTCACTTTTTTGGTTTTACACTAGGTAGTTTCTTAAAGCATCTCATAGGAAACAGCCTCTCTATCCATCGGGGTAGAGCCGTGGTCTGTGTACATTGGTTTGGTTTGGTTACTAACCAATTTCTTAAATATGTTGATAGAGTTCATTTGGGAAGGTAACGATCCAGATCGACCGTGTAGTAATGCTAGGTTCAGTTGCAGGGGAGTACACTTTGTTGCCCGAAAGCAAAAGCGGAGCATCAAGGACTTTGGAGATTGAATTCCAGTGGTCTAACAAATCAGAACAATAGAGAAAGAAACATTATATGATTTCTGTTTGCAGTTTCAAGTTTCAACTGCCTTTTTCTGGATTTTTTGTCATATTTTTTATTTATGGTTTGTTGATAGATTAAATGTAAATAGCTTCTGGCAGAGGTTTACAGGGGTTTTAGTTAGTTTTCTTTGAGTCTTGAAACCGGCTAATTAGTTCAGTGAATCAGTGTATTCTTAATTTCTTTTCCGGTTTTCCCTGTAATTGTACCGTGTACCGTGTGTATATGAGTGATTAATTGGGTCACATTCATCCTTTAATCTGTATAATTTCTTTTGTATTCATATTTGGTTTACTGTCATTTTTTAGTTCTACCTAATTATATTTCCTTGTTTAGACCTATGCATGACGCGAGACATTTATTTATTTAGTTACATTTTTTAGTATAAAGGGAAACGACTTTTGGAATTCTTTTGGTATGAATTGTAATAGACTTTCTTGAGTCTTGACGCAAGACATTTATTTATTTAGTTACAATAGGAAATTACTACTTACGGAGTAATAATACTCCCAATTTTGTGTATAGTTAGTTGTTACTTGAGAAAGTTTTTTGCACTGTTTTCAGTTCCAGATCAAATCATATTAGACTTCCATAGTTATGAAATACATGGAGATCAAGTATTTATTAGATCAGTTCAGACCAGACCAGTAAATTTTAGTTCAAAAGAAAGTATTCTTATATTGACTAAGACTTGGGAAAAAGTGAAGAACTATTTGTGTAGGAAATTAATGTGTTTATATAGAATCTATTGGTTGTATTTTTGGATGAGGTCTAATTGTCTAAAACGCAACAGCTTAGGGACTGAGATTAGGGTTATCCTGATTACTCTATTTCATAGCATGACATTATAGTAGACATTGGCCATTGCCCAATGACCTCTTTTTTTACCCCGGGTTGACATTAGATCTTTTCTAATAGACAAAAAGGCTGTTATGTGTTTTCAGATAGGAAATTGAACACATAATCCTCTTTCTTTTGTACTTTGTATATACCACGCAGTAGAGTCCCGTTCGAGTCAGGAGTTCCTTATCGGAACCACCTTGCGGAATTCACTGTTTGGGCTGATTCCCGGTGGAATTTTTTGATGAAATATTTTGAACATGTTTTTCATCAAGTCTAGTTTATGCCAATCAAATTTAAGCTTAAAATTCAACCGGAAAGGCAGTTAAATAAATTATTAAAAAACATTGCTCTTATCTATATATAGAATGAAGTTCAAATGAGAAAACGGTCTTAGGAGAATGAGAATGCATTAAGACCGTTGTTGTATTTCGTGAAATTAAATAAGCATTTGGTGAAATTCAAATGTGCATTACGTGAAATCAAAATGTGTAGTACAAAAGGTACGCTATAGTGACATTATGTGAAGTTCAATTGTGCATTGGGTGAAACTAAAATGTGCAGAATAAAGCTATGATGTGGTGACATTTTTGTTCCTTGTATTCTGCACATTTCAATTTAACGTAATGCATAGTTGAGTTTTGCTTTTTATATTGCACATTTAGATTTCACATAATGTACATTTCAGTTTCAGTTTTGCACAATTCAATTTTACAAAATATAATTCATCGATCCAGATTCATTCTCATTTAAGAGAGCGCATATTGTACAGCCGGTTGTGCAATGCTCACAGTACAACCGAATATTTTATGTTAAAAACAAGTCATTCATTTCATTTTCATTTACCCCAGTGCTGCAAAGGCTCCCACCTACGGTGAGGTAAGGGAGGGTCAGATGTACGTAGTCTTACCCTTGTACTAAAGCACAGAGAGACTGTTTTCGAATGACCCATAGTGAAAATCACGTCCAAAATTGCATGGACTGACTGCTGTTTCATAACAAAGAAGCGCAGACAGTTTAGTGAGCCATTTTGATATATTCCATCATATTCTCAAGCCAAAAAATAATGAATCTTTGGTTCCATTGCAAATGATGGAAATTTTAAAAATAAGTATAACGTTTAAAAGAAATGATTATTGGTATTAAAATCATTGTATTGGTATCATCAAAACATGTTATTGAACATGTTATAAAAGAAATGTATAACATAGCACAATATAATTGAGTATTCGAAACATGTTATTGAATATCATGATCTACACGTAATATATATGCTACAAGCCTACAAATGAACTTATTCATTTAACTATATGATCATTGCATTATCATCAAAATATTTGTTATACTAATTCTATAATTCAATATCAATACTAATTTCTTTTAAATGTTATGTTCATTTCTTTTAACATAAAATACTCGATTGTACGGTGAACACTGTACCGCCAGATGAATATTTAATTTGCCACAAATTAGGACAAATTATTCATATGCGAGAATTGGTGAAGTAGTTTAGTTATAAACTGTCGATTTAACACAAATAGTAATAATACCAATAATAAGAAAACATTGAAAATAATAATCCTAAAATACACCAAATGCACATTTAATTTCAATTATGATTGAAATGCACATTGCACCAAAAAAAAATTAAATTCACCAAAAAACACATTTAAATACTTATTAAATTTCACCAAATTAAAAAAATGAAATGCACATTTAATACACCAAAAAATTATGATTTAGATCTTCATTCCAGTTTTTTTCATGAAAATATATTTAATTAAGTTTTTATGCTATCTTAATTGTAAAAAATCCAAAATATCTATTTTTTCAATTTTAGTATTTTTTTATTTCTTTCTATTTTCTTTATTTTATGTTATTATATTTTTTAAATTATATGATATAGTTTATCATTGAATTCTAGTGATTTGAAACATAGGTTTTGAAGGTTTTCGCTATGTTAATGAAAATGTATTACGGAGTAATATTTTAATTTTAAGTGATACATTTTTCTGCATGCTTACGATTTCGATTATATCATTTAAAATTAAAATATTAATACATTTTTATTATAAATAGCCAAAATCTCCAAAATCTATGCCCCAAATCACTAAAATTGAACGATGAGCTATATAGAGTATTTTATAATTTGTATAAAATAAAAAATAGAAAGAAATTACAAATATTGAAATTGATAAAATAGAGAATTAATTAGATTTGTAGAATTAACATGTCATAAAAATTAAATTAAATCTATTTTCATGAAAAATACTAGAATAAAGTTTTCAATCATAAAATTTTAGTCACATCTTACTTTTTGAATGAAGGAAAATAATACCATATCGTAACTTGTTAACACATCTAGGAATAATAAATTGGAAAAACGAAATAAAATGAAATTTTAGTGAAAGTAATTAAAAAGAGTACAAATATTTTATTTAACTGCGGTACATTTGTAGAATTTTCATAATAATTTTTACTACCTTCGTCCCACTATGTTTGGGACAAAGGGGTGTGGCACAACTTTTAAGAAAAAGTGAAATTGTGTGGTTGATATTGAATTGATATAGTGAGAATAAAATAAGAATGAATTGTAACCACCCAAATATTACCAAATATGGTATGAGACAAACATAATGGGACGGACGAAAAAGGTAAAACGGGACAAAGTTAGGGGGACGGATGGAGTACATGTTTAAAAATATTTAATTTGAAAATAATAATAATAATAACAAAAACAAGAACAATAATGACAATAATGATGACGACAATGATGACGACAATGACGACGACGATGATGACGACGATGATGATGACGATGAAGACGACGACGATGATGATGGTGATGATGATGGTGATGGTGATGGTGATGGTGATGATGATAACAGTACTCCGTAACTTAATACGGAGCATAACAATATAATGATCTAATTATAGTTAATGGTCAATTTATAAGACCCCAATCTTAAACATTTTCACGTTTGTGTTACCCAAACCTTTGTGGACATTAGTTTGATACTTTGTACGATAGTATATTCTATGTTTTCAATTTTAGCCGTTTCATGAGTTTTTCCCACACCGAAAGCTAAGATAGGAATCGGCCTTCTAGTTTCCTATAAATATATGGGTGATTGCAAGGCCATCGTGTGCCTTAACCCAGCCGCAGGTATAGAAATGGATACGGAAGAGAAGCCAAAAATAAATTCTTCAAAACCAGAACCAGAAATGGCCACTGAACTTACGGAAGAGAAGCCAAATGTGGATCCTTCAACACAATCATCCGTTCCTCTCAGTTCCAATCCATATGGAATACAGGGATACCTCAGGGAAGGACCTACTAATCAAGACCTCAAATGCGCTTGTAATTAGAACATTATAACAAGAAAAACCGGAAGAGGTATGAGCTTGTGGAGGCTGGGGTTAGTACTGCCTTTTTATATGGTGGTATCTGGTTTCAGTGCAACTTCAAGGCTAGGAATACTTGCGGGGGAGATGGGAATGAGAAGACCTCCCCCTAGCTCTTCTTTGCCGAGCTTCATGTTGAACGTAAACTTCAAAGAAAAATTGTTACTGCCTGTCGTATCTTAAAAGGTAAAACTATTGGTGGTTGTCAGTTTTGCTGCAAAGTTATTGCTCATCCTACCCATGGATTTCGTAAGGGCATCTACAGTTATGAACCCCGTGCATTGCGTTCTAATAAGGGTTCAAGTCTGGTGGTGGAACATGGCTTTAGTTATACACTTATACACCTACTCCACCTAGTTATTTTCTAAATATTTGGCTAAATATCTTTGTTAGTATTTGTTATCTCATCTTACACTTATTGCTAATTGCTCAAATTATTTCATTCAGATCAGATCAGACAAATCAGAAAAATTCAAATATGATCAGATCATATAAGAAATTTCAAATCAAATTAGATCACATCAGATAGATTTAGATCATAAGATAGAGATCCGATGATGAAAAAAGCCAATCATGATTTTATTATTATTATTATTATCATTATCATTATTATCATTATCACTGTCATTATCATTATCATTATCATCATCATCATTATTATTATTATTCTCAATATTATTATTATTATTATTATAATTATTTCTTGTACTATTACTACTACTACTATTATTATTACTACTACTATTATCATTAACAATTAATATAAAAAAGAATTATGGTTAATATTATTATGTTTATTATTACTACTAAATCTGATCAGATAACATTTACTTCAAATCTGGCCGTATCAGATTGAAAAATTCAAACCAGATTAGGGCAATTCAAACCATAACATATCACGAAAATATAGATCAGATTAGAAAAGTTAGGACCGCATGATTTATTACTTTTATTATTACTATTACTAATATGATTATTATTATTATTACTATTATTATTGTTATTATTATTACTATTATTATCATTACCGTTATTGTTTTCAATATTAGTATTATCAATACTATTATTATCAACATTATTATTTTTATTATTG